AAACTTAAAAGATAATAATAGGATTAAACTATAAAAAGATATTTTCTTCTCTTAAAATATAAAAATGACTATTATTTTAAGACAAATTCAAAAAATATTTGTCTCCCTTAAATAAATAATTAAAAGTTGACATACGTATATAATAAGGCACTACATCTTTGATTAGTATTTTTGCATTTATGTTTCAATTTATATACTTTATTATAAGTATAAAATCATGTATCTCTCTCTCTCTATATATATATATATTTTGATATTTATAATTAGAGTGTTCCCAAATCAGCTTTCACACAACTTGCAATTAATTTTTATTAAACAATTTTAAGAATGCATCTCTTACAACGAACTAGTATATTTAAAGAAATTAAATTTGCTTTCACACAACTTGCAATTAATTTTTATTAAACAATTTTAAGAATGCATCTCTTACAACGAACTATTATATTTAAAGAAATTAAATTTGCTTAGCTACTAGTCAAGGAAATTTATCTTTATGTATTATATATGAAATAAAGTATGTATTTTATAATATATTTAATTATATTTTAATTTGTATTAAACGTTATAATATTTAACATGTATATATAAGTACATTTGCAAAAGTATGTATAGTTAACAAATTAAATAATGGATATAGACTTTTAATAGCTAAGTAAATATCAAGCATTGAAATTTTATATCTATTAATTTTCAAATTAAATATAAATATAGATAAATACCTCACCCATTTACCTACTTAATCCTCTCATACACACGAATAGAACTATAAATTGTGGACTCGCATTGGGCTATCCAAAACTTACAACTAAAGGGATAAGAATAGGGTTGTTAAAAATATTTTTTCTCAAGTTATAATTTTTTTAAACCTTAATAAAATTTAAGAATTTTTATCAAAATTTTTTTTAAAGAATTAAATTTGCTCGATCACCTCCTATAATTTTTTGAGAAATATTCCTTTGATTGACCCAACCATAAAGTTGATTAAAGGAAATAAAAAAATGTGGCTACTAATTGAAAAAAAAAAAGTTACTAAATTATTCATGTAAAAAGATATTAATATGTGGTATGATATTGGTGGGTCTCATATAGTTAAATTGGAGTAAAAAAATAATATAAAAATATATGGTAAACGTCAAAAAGTTAGGCTTTAATGGTTAAAAGTGATGGTGTTAGCCACGAAATGGATGGAGGGATGAAATTGATCACTTTTTAAATAGTAGAGAGAGGACACGTAAACTCAAAAAGAAGTAAAGAGAGGATCTGAGGCGATTCCATTGTAAAAGAGTTAGATTGAACTTTTTCATAAAGTAGAAGGACGACAGCTGGCTATAAGTTTCTGCAGGGTACGGTTTACGAGCTATACTCTGAGATAATATAATTATAATTATATAAAATATTATAAATTTATAAAATAATATATTATTATATAATTTATTTATTTTATTTTAAAACTTATTTATAATATTATATATTTATTTTAAAATACATTACGTTTATTTAATATTATATCATAATAAGTATTTTTTCATTGTTTAACTTCTAAAAGTGTCATTTTTTTTTCTTTTTGATCAGTTGGCAGAATAAAGGTTGTAGGGAACAAAATTGATCGATGATGAAAAGGTAAAATTAAGGAATTGTAAGCTCTCAGGTAGATGGGGCTTTTGAGTCATTTCACACTCCCAAAAAGCGGACACGTGGGAAAGAAATCTATGTTAAAGGTGTGAACGCGGCGGGGCTGGAGAAGATTCCATTCTGAGGAATGGTTAGGGTACTTTTGAGAACACGGAGCCAATTTCACCCCTCCAATAGAACGGTCCGTACATGTACGTGGTAGATTAAAAAGGCTGCAATATGATAGGTCGGCACCAACGAGGAGTTGGATCAAGTGGTAAGCGGCTTGTTCCAGTTTAAGTAAGGTCTCGAGTTCGAGTCCTTGTGAATGCAGCTCCCTTTGTTGGGAGACTCACCCACCATTTCCAGGTGCGCGACACGGTCGGGTCCGGACGGGAAACAAAAAAAAAAAAAAAAAAATGATAGGTCGGCGGATTGTCGATGGCCAGTCGTAGCACACCACGTCGGCGACGCAAGTGTTGACTTTGTCGACGTGGAAACTTCCTTCCGTGGAAAATTATTTAATGCAATACCCTTTTTTTTAGCCCAATAGAGGCATAGGGGGATGTCTGGCAATCTTACCCATCTAATCTTTTTCTAAACTTAGCTAAAATTACTCTGAAAAGTCAAATTTTTTTTTCTTTTAAACAAATTTTAAACTTATGAACCGAATGTTCAGGTGCATTGATTTGTTTTTAATTTTTAGTATTTAAATTTAGTTAATTAGAGAATTTGATTTTTATTA